CTTTCCGGGTGCCCCTGCATGGCGGAGGCATGTCCCTACTGCCACCGACAGGAAGGGCGAGACCAGGGACCACCAATGGCAGCAGGGGCATGTCTGGTGGATATTTGAACAAAGACAGAGCTGTTCAGTATGGAGCAGCTAAGGCAATACCAGGGAGCAGACCTGGCTCTGGTGGAAGTGAGGCATTGGTTGGAGGCGGGACAGTGCTTGGACTGGTCAGTGGTGTCCTCTGGGGACATGGAACTGAAGGTGCTGCACTCCCCCTGGGGCAATTTGGAGCTCCAATACGGTCTCCTATATCGGTGGTGGAGGCCGAGACAGACTCCAACTCCTAGTTTCCCGCTCTCTACGCCCAGAAGTACTGCACTGGGTCCATGGGGCAGCAGGAGCTGGTCACTATGGGAACTCTTAGACGGTGAGGCGGTGGAGGTTCTATTGGCCTGGCTGCCGGCAGGATGCAGAGCTCCATGTGCAATGCTGCGACAGTTGCACTGCACACAAAGGACCCAGCCAACATTCCCGGGGGCCCCTGCAGCAGTACTTGGTCAGGGCACCTATGGAGAGGGTCGGGGTGGACATCCTGGGGCCCTTCACCATCACAGAAACTGGAAACTGCTATGTCCTTGTAGCAATGGACTACTTTACCAAGTGGCCGGAGGCATATGCAGTGCCCGACCAGAGTGCCACCACAGCATATGCCAAGTATCTGGTAGAGGTGATGTTTGCCCGGTTTGGGGTCCCAAATGAGCTCCACAGTGACCAAGGGCGGAACTTTGAGAGCCGGGTGTTTCAGGAGGTGTGTCAAAGGCTAGGAGTAAGATAGACCAGAACCACTCCAATCCACCCCCAAAGCAATGAACTGGTGGAACGGTTTAACCGAACCCTGGCCACCCAGCTTGCTATCCTGACCAGCCGGCATCAAAAGGACTGGGACCAACACTTGCCCCTGGCCCTGTGGTCATACCGGACAGCTGTACAGGAGTCCAGCCAGTGCACCCCAGCTATGCTGATGTTTGGACGGGAGCTCCAGACGCCCGTGGACCTGGTGTTTGGGCCAGCCCCTGAGCCAGAAATCGAAGGAGGCCCAGAGTTGGAGTACTTGAGGCGCCTTAAGGAGCGGATTAAGGTGGTGCATGAGCTAGCGATAAGGGCTCAGGAAGAGGCTGGGGCTAGGCAGAAACGAGCCTATGACACCAGAGCTCAGGGACAATTGTTTTCCAATCCACTTCAGCCATTAGGGGGGTCTAGTGGGTTGTGTGACGATCCACATCCACGTCAGCCATTAGAGCTGCATGATGCAGAGGTGCATCATGGGAGTTTGGTAAATAGTAGAGAGAGTAGTTACAAAATTATAGTTAGAAGTGTTCTTACGTGTTACCCCATTGTTGTTGTGTGTTAGTGTTGCTGGCTTATGCTGGTGTGTTATCTGACGATGTTTTAATAAATTAATTGCTGTGCTGTGTTTTGGACCATCAGTTTGGCTTGTATGTTTGAGACTGACCCTGAAGGAAGTGCCATCGTTCAGCATGTTCTAAAAAAATGGCAGAGAAGCCAGCTTTGCATTGTGGTCATTGTTTAAGGACACGCCCGGGAAATATCCAGAGTCGTGCGGGTGTATGGGGCCTGGAATAATCGCTAATCGATATCAGCATAGGTACCAGTGCCCTGCTAGCTAGTGTAACAGGCTCTACCGGGTGCAAAACTCCTTGGCCGTCGGCGGGGGTAGTGTACTCTGCGTTGTGTTCTGTGTTGAAATAATGGCACTGACCACTGTTGTCTCACCGGTTGACTTTAATTATCCCCTGGGTAATTGCAAAGGAAAAAAAAAGAGTCACAGCACATGGGATGATAATCTGCTACATGCATCCCTTCTCTCAGCTTGGAGAGCACAAACTGAGAGTTAGACAGTGATGACGTACAAAAAAAGCGCATCTCAGGTGTCTTA